GTTGTTTTAGTTCTTATGCTGTTTTCAGCCTTCCTTGTGGGTCGATCAATTCCTTATATTTTCTCATTTTGTTTAAGTCCATTGCATTGGGGTATATTATCGCTTCCATCGTTGACAGCCAGATTGGTATTTTGTTGTAATGATTTTTTTCCCCCACACCTGAATAAGTGCATCTCTGATCTGATGACTTTGGAAATAAGAATGACTTTTGCTTATCCCTTCCCAAAAAAATCCATGCCACCCTCATTGCAGGTTATATCCCTCTATTAATAATATTCTTTTATTCTCCAAGTAATCCAGGTTAATACTCTAAAATATTTATTACTGTTCTTGTATTATTTTTGATCTGCCTGTTTGGTAAAAATCCATTTTGATCTGGATGTATAGTTTTGTTTAGGAGTTTTTTCAACCTTTCTGCAATAACAGTAGTAAATATTTTGTAGTCAATGTTTAACAATGATATAGGTCTGTAGTTTTGAATCTGTTGGTGATCTGTGCCCTATTTTGGAATTAGTGTGATATATGCTTCCTCCCATGATTTTGGTAGTTTCACTTCCACCATTGCTTCATTACAGGTGAAACTCAAAAAATTAGAATATTGTGCAAAAGTTCATTTATTTCAGTAATGCAACTTAAAAGGTGAATCTAATATATGAGATAGACTCATTACATGCAAAGCAAGATAGTTCAAGCCGTGATTTGTCATAATTGTGATGATTATAGCTTACAGCTCATGAAAACCCCAAATCTACAATCTCACAAAATTAGAATATTGTGAAAAGGTTCAATATTTTAGGCTCAAAGTGTCCCACTCTAATCAGCTAATTAAGCCATAACACCTACAAAGGGTTCCTGAGCCTTTAAATGGTCTCTCAGTCTGGTTCAGTAGGAATCACAATCATGGGAAAGACTGCTGACCTGACAGTTGTACAGAAAACCATCATTGACACACACCATAAGGAGGGAAAGCCTCAAAAGGTAATTGCAAAAGAAGTTGGATGTTCCCAAAGTGCTGTTATCGAAGCACATTAATAGAAAGTTATGTGGAAGGGAAAGTGTGGAAGAAAAAGGTGCACAAGCAGCAGGGATGACCGCAGCCTAGAGAGGATTGTCAGGAAAAGGCCATTCAAAAGTGTTCACAAGGAGTGGACTGAGTCTGGAGTCAGTGCATCAAGAGCCACCACACATAGACGGATCCTGGACATGGGCTTCAAATGTCGTATTCCTCTTGTCAAGCCGCTCCTGAACAACAAACAACGTCAGAAGCATCTTACTTGGGCTAAAGAACAACAGAACTGGTCTTCTGCTCAGTGGTCCAAAGTTCTCTTTTCTGATGAGAGCAACTTTTGCATCTCATTTAGAAACTAAGGACCCAGAGTCTGGAGGAAGAAGGGAGAGGCACACACTGCAAGATGCTTGAAGTCCAGTGTGAAGTTTCCACAGTCCGTGTTGATTTGGGGAGCCATGTCATCTGCTGGTGTTGGTCCACTGTGCTTCATTAAATCCAGGGTCAATGCATCCGTCTACCAGGAGATTTTGGAGCACTTTATGCTTCCTTCCGCAGACAAGCTTTATGGGGATGCTGACTTCATTTTCCAGGACTTGGCACCTGTCCACACTGCCAAAAGCACCCAAACCTGGTTCAATGACCATACGATTACTGTGCTTGATTGGCCAGCAAACTCACCTGACACGAACCCCATAGAGAATCTATGGGGCATTGCCAAGAGAAAGATGAGAGACATGAGCCCGAACAATGCAGAAGAGCTGAAGGCTGCTATTGAAGCAACCTGGTCTTCCATAACACCTCAGCAGTGCCACAGGCTGATAGCTTCCATGCCACACCACATTGAGGCAGTAATTGCTGCAAAAGGGGCCCAAACCAAGTACTGAGTACATATGCATGCTTATACTTTTCAGAGGTCTGATATTGTTCTATGTACAATCCTTGTTTTATTAATTGCATGTAATATTCTAATTTTCTGAGATTGTGGATTTGGGGTTTTCATGAGCTGTAAGCCATAATTATCACAATTACGACAAATCATGGCTTGAACTATGTTGCTTTGCCTGTAATGAGTCTATCTCATATATTAGTTTCACCTTTTAAGTTGCATTATTGAAATAAATGAACTTTTGCATGATATTCTAATTTTTCGAATTTTACCTGTATATACTTCTAGCATTCTTGTTTCCAGTGATTCTTGTAGGGTTTTATATAGCTCTTCTGGGAGTCCATCAGGCCCTGGAGTCTTGTTGTTTTTTTGTTTCCGAATCGCCTCTTTTAATTCCATTTGAGTTATTTCACTATTTAACATTTATTTTCTTCTGAAATTTTAGCTTTTAAATATTATTGTATATTTTCTTCTGTTATATTTTCCCGTCTATATAGGTCTGCAAAATATTTCCTTGTAATGTCTTTTTTCTTTTCTTTCCGGTGATTTTCATCTATCAGATGTTGTACTGACCTTCTTTCTTTTTCTTTCTTTAATTTGTGTGATAATCATCTACCTGGTTTATTTGCATGTTCGAAATAATTTTGCCTCACCTTTCTGATGTTTTGTTCCCATTCTTCTTGCATCAATAGGTTTATTTTTTGTCTAGCCAGAATCCTTTCTCCTTTTATTTTGTTGTTTTGTGGCTCTCTTTATATTTCCAGATTTTTAAGTTTATCTTGCAATGCAGTTTGTTGTTTTCTTTTTTCTTTGTTTCTTTGTGCCATATATGCTATTGTTAGTCCTCTTATATATGTTTTTGTTGTATCCCATAAGTTTTGAGGTATTGTTTGATGTTTCATATTTTCTCTAAAAAATATATCCAATTCTTTTTTAATCATTTGGCCATATTCTTTCTCTTTCAGGATCTTCTGATTTAACATCCATCTCCTTTTTATTTTCTGACCTTTCCAAGTTACTTTTATCGGATTGTGATCCGTTCATGTGTTTGTCTCTATTTCTATTTCCTCTGTTTCTTCCTAGTTCCAAATTCGTCCAGATCATATCTATTCTTGACCATGAGTTGTGTGGACAAGAATAGAAAGTATACTGATTTTTATTTATTTATTTATCTCTCTCCATACGTCTCATAAGCCCAATTCTTGTATCATTTCATAGAATATTTTTGGAAGTGTTTTCCTTTTCTTCTTATTTGGGTTATTGCTTGCATTATATTTTTGGGGGTTCACTACTGCATTAAAGTTGCCCACCAAGCATATTCAAAAATATTCTTTCTCCCAAAAAACCCACCAGACTCAACACTATTGGGTCAAATCCCAGCAATTTTGTTTTTATTTATTTATTAAATTTCTTTGCTGCCCATCTCACCATAAGGTGAGAATAAGAATCTGATTTTTAAAACAAGAGTTATACTTTACTTTCCTGAGGGACAAAGGACATTTTCATGATAATTAATCAAACGCTTAAGTTCCAAAGATTATGGTAAAATTAATTGACTTGAAGACATATCTCAATAGTTGCAGAAATGATTCAGTACTTCAGAATACTTGTCTCCTTGTTAAGCGCTATAAAATGAAATAAACCAAATTCTTTATCTTTACATTCCACCTTTACTCAAGAGCTAAATATGATGTACATAGCACCATCCCACAAAATAACTGTAAAATAGTTTAGTCTGAGAGCAGTGACTTCCCCAAGTCATGCAGTGAGCTTGTATTGATTAGTTTCCTCAATTATTTTTCATACCAAAGTTTGAACTGTAGCTTGCTAAATATCAAGGTAGAAGATCCTATTAAGCTTTAGTCCCACTATGAATCATAGCAGACATCTATGTACTTGTTTGCAATTTGGGGTGGGTGGGTGCATGATGCACCAATACTCTTATTTCTGATCAATGTGTTTTGCTTTGTTGTACCTCACCCAAAGTCCTATGATTGAGGCAATGGACAATCTTGTAAATAAATATATAATAAGTCTAGCATATTACAACTGATGGTTAGCACCTACCTGAAGTTAGATAAGGTTCAACTAAATTTAAGGGGAGTTGGACCTAGTCCACTGGTGACTACATAGGGATTCTAGTCTGATTCCTCTTTTAATTCCACCCCCCAACCCCAGTTTCTGCTATTCTTTCTCCCATAAACACAATCTTAATTCTCTACAATTTAGATATTTTAAAGTTCTATTCAACTATCGAGTTATTCCATAAGCTTATCATAACTAATTTCTTTACAAGATTGTAAATTACCATTTAAGATAATAAAACACAAATCTCTTTTGAGAAACAGCTAAGTCAGTGCAAACCATTAACTAAAAATCCTTAATCATAAAAGTATATTTAATTTCTACTGATTTTTAAGAACTACATTTATATTTGTAGCCTGTAATGTTTAAAATGGCTTCTGGCTAAACACAATAATGACTAATATCTTTTGCCATTCCCTTCTAAAAAAAATAACTAGGAGCAATAGTGAATGTATTCTTTATTATAATGCAGTAAGTTTGAGCTGTAATCCATCATTACATGAATCCTTTATTTAATTTTGTGTGTGTCTACCTTCAGATCAGTTTTTACTCCTGGTTACTGCCTGGACATGTCCTTCACTTTTCTTGGCAAGATTTCAGAAGCAGTTTGCCCTTGCTTGCTTCCCAGGCCTAAAAAAGGGTGACTGCCTTAAATTGCCCAGCTAGCTTTGTACCCAAGGCAGGCCTAGAAACTGAGGTCTCCCAGTTTCTAACCACTATATCAACTGGCTCCCTCATTCCATATTGCAATCTTCATTCATTTTTCATACCGGGTACATATCCTTATCTGTATGTATTGGAGGGGTCTTTTTATTAACAAGTAAAAAGACTAGATTGGATAGTGAAAATTCGAATTCATCCATACTTCGGTGAGTTATCATTTTAAAAAGAGATAATAGTGATAAACAATTTCTTGAGGCAAAGAATTATGGTGATATTCATTAATAATAATAGAAACAGCATAATTTAATATAAGTCTAGACAGAAATAAACTCTCAATATTAGACAAATTGAACTTACCAAATATTGCCATGTGCATTCCCTCTGGAAAGGGTTCAACCATACTGTTCCCATTCACATGATGTTTACCTGAAAATCAAAGCAATATTACCTTATCAAATAGGAACGTTTGTTTGGCTTATATGGCTCATCTTATATACCTGGGGATCTTCACGTGGGCCCTATTCTCAATTTTCTAAAACAATACCTCTCTATACATAAATGATCACATTATCTGGGCTTCAGCTTCACCCTAAGTTGAGGGGAAGGAACCAGATTTTCAAGATTTTCTAGAGAGCTAATAGGATGGTGGCCTTCTGGATGCTAGTTTTCCACAGGGCAAGGATTGCTACCAACCTCATGCTTATTCTCAAATATATGTTTCTGTCATGAGTCTGATTCACATTATCAGAGAACTATTATTGAATTTTAAAATTTATATTGCTTCTATTATTCTGTTCAAAGATATTCTGTAATTCTACATTAATTTACTGCATGTAAGTTCCATTTAATTTGGGTCTTACTTTTAAATACAGTTACATAGGAACGATGAATCTCACAATTAAAAAATGAACAAAAGGACAAGATAATATTCCCAAAGTAGCAGCAATTAATCAAAAGTTCAAACAAATTGGCCTTAAATTACCACCTAAAAATGGAAGGACTGATTATGTGCCATCAAGTCATTTTCAACTCTTAGCAACCACATGGGTATGAGTTTTTTCATTCTAAAATGGAAGGAACCAAACTGATATTTTAAACAAATGCCATTCCATCAAGTATCTTCTGATCAGAAAGATGAAATATAAATCAAACAAATAAATAACTACAGATTACATGCTTTCACAGAGCAGACCTTAACGAAAGGAAGTGACAAAAAGAAGGGCCTTTGAAGTTTAAGCAAGTTACTGTAATATGAGAAATACCATTCTGTATAGTATCTTGTTCCTGTGCATTTAAAACAGTGGTTCCCAAAGTGGGTGGTACCATCCCCTGGGGGGCGGTGGGATGCCTTAGGGGGGTGGTAAGAAGCAAGGGGGCCGGCAGAGGGGCGCTGAGACATGACAGGGGGGCGTTCAAGGTGCCAGCCCTACAGGCTCACTGACTGCCGGCCATGCAGCCCATTGACTGTTTCATCGCTTCGTAGCCGACGCCTTGAATGCGGAACCTGCGCGCAGTGAGCCTTGCCAAGCCTGGGGGGAGAGAGGTGGAAGATGGTGGAAAGAGGGCGCCTTAAGCTTGCAGGCTGCCCTCTCCAGTGGAAGTGGCAGAGGCGCTCCAGAAGGCCCAAAAGCAAAACCCTCCCAAGGCGCACAGTGAAAGGGTGAAAGGTCCAGCATTAGGGCCCCCTTCCCCAGAGAACAAGGGAGCATGCAGCACCCGCCCATCCTCCGCTTCTCCAGCCAGCCGGGCTTGAGCACAGGATGCGGGCGGGTGCAGCTGCAGCTCTCCAAGTCACATGGCTCGGTTTGGTTCAGCTCTATGTGGCCGTCCCGGACCTAGAACCTAGCCTCCCTCTGGAGCCCGGTTCTTCCGACTGAGCCCTGCGCTTGCTTGCTTGCTTGCTTTCCAAGCAATCGTTCCCTCCGCCTCCGCTGGTCTGGGCTGCTTCCACATGCCTTCCTCCTCCCAGGAGGAGTATAAAGATGGGCGGAACACTTCACTGAAGTTGGGAGCTCTGAGCATGTGCAGAGTACCTCCCCTTGCTTGGCCCGATGGAAGTGGACCTTGGGTTGAAGCAAAGAGGGTGAGGTTGGCTGCATCGCTGCCCTGGGTAGGTTGGCATTGCAAAATTGGATGCCAAAGGAGGCTGGAGAAGGGGCAGAGGGGTAGCTGCAGGGGACTGGAGAAGGGGCAAAGGGGCAGCTGCAGGTGGCTTGAGAAGGGGCAGAGGGGTAGCTGCAGGGGGCTGGAGAAGGGGCAGAGGGGTAGCTGCAGGTGGCTTGAGAAGGGGCAGAGGGGCAGCTGCAGGGAGCTTGAGAAGGGGCAGAGGGGTAGCTGCCGGGAGCTTGAGAAGGGGCAGAGGGGTAGCTGCAGAGAGTTGCAGAAGGGGCAGAGGGGCAGCTGCAGTGGGCTGGAGAAGGGGCAGAGG